TTTTTAATAATAGCCATTCTAACAGGTGTGAGGTGATATCTTATTGTGGATTTGACTTGTATTTCTCAGATTATTAGTGATGTTGAACCTGTTTTCATGTGCCTTTTGGCCATCTGTTTATCGTTGGGAAAATGTCTATTCAGTTCCTCTGGCCCCCCCCCCCCACTTTTTTTTTTTTTGAGAGAGGGAGAGAGAGGAAGAGGAGAGAGAGAATCTTAAGAAGGCTTCATGCCTAGGGCGGAGCCTGATGTGGGGTTCCATCTCCCAACCCTGAGATCATGATCTGAGCCAAAATTGGGAGTCAGATGCTTAACCAACTGAGCCATTCAGGTGTCCCCCTCTGCCATTTTTTAATCACTCTTTTATTTATTTATTTTTTGCTATTGAGTTGTATGAGTTTCTTAAATATATTTTAGATGTTAATCCTTATCAGATAACCTCCCATTCTGTGGGTTGCCTTTTTATTTTGTTGATGTTTTTCTTCACTTGAAGCTTTTTAGTTTTGTATAATCCCCTTTATTTATTTTTGCTTTTGTCATCACCGCTTCTTGAGTCGTATCTAAAAAGATATTGCTGAGACCAATGTTGAGAAGCTTGCCATCTATGTTTTATTCTAGGAGTTTTATGGTTTCAGGTCTTACATTCAAGTCTTTAATTCATTTTGAGTTTACTTTTAGTATGGGGTAAGATAGTGGTCCAGGTTCATTATTTTTCATGTGGCTGTCCATTTTTCTCAGCACCGTTTATTGAAGATACCGTCCTTTCCCCATTGTATATTGCCTCCTTTGTTATAAATTAATGGACCATATATGTGCAGGTTTATCTCTGGGCTCTCTGTTCTGTTCCCTTGATCTATGTGTGTTCATACTGATACCATACCATTTTGATTACTATAGCTTTGTAATAATTTGAAATCAGGGAGTGTGATGCCTCCAACTTTCTTGTTTTTTCTCAAGATTGGTTATTCAAGATCTTTTATGGTTTCATACAAATTTTAGTTGTTTGTTCTATTTCTGTGAAAAATGCCATTGGAATTTTGATAGGGATTTCATTGAATCTGTAGATTGCTTTGAGTAGTATGGGCATTTTAACAATATTAATACTTTCAATCCATGACTCTGGAATGTCTTTCCTTTTATTTATGTCTTCAATTTTTTTCATCAATGTCTTATAGTTTTCAGTGTACAGATCTTTCACCTGGGTTAAATTTATTCCTCGTTATTTTTTTCTTTTTGATGTAATTGTAAATAGGATGTTTTCTCTTCCTGATAATTTGTTATTAGTGTTTAGAAACACAACAGATTTTTTAAAATTTAAATTCAATTTAATTAACATACAGTATATTAATAGTTTCAGAGGTAGAAGTTAGAGATTCATCAGTTGCATATAATACCCAGTGCTCATTACATCATGTTCCCTCCTTAATGCCTGTCACCCAGATGCCCCATCTTTCCCCCCACCTTCCCTCCAGCAACGCTGGAGTTAAGAGTCCACCTTCCCTACAGTTAAGAGTCTCTTATGGTTTGTCTCCCTCTCTGTTTCCCCCCACCTTCCCTACAGTTAAGAGTCTCTTATGGTTTGTCTCCCTCTCTGTTTCCATCTTATTTTATTTTTCCTTCCCTTCCCTTATGTTCATCAGTTTTGTTTCTTAAATTCTACATGTGAGTGAAATCATATATTTGTCTTTCTCTGACTGACTTACTTCTTTTAGCATAATACCCTCTAGTTCATCCACTTCGGTGCAAATGGCAAGATTTCATTCTTTTTGACGGCTGAGTAGTATTCCTGTGTGTGTGTGTGTGTGTGTGTGTGTGTGTGTGTGTGTGTGTGTACTGCATCTTCTTTATCCATGCATCTGTTGATGGACATCTGGGCTCTTTGCATAGCTTGGCTATTAGAAACACAACAAATATTCAAGCATTGATTCTGTACCCCACAACTTTACCAAATTCATTTATTAGTTCTTACAGTCATATTTCTCATATTCGGTTTGTTTTACTCATTTCAGTAACTTTTATTTTATTGTAATTTAATATGTGATAATATTTGATTTTTAAATTTTTATTTGCCTGACTATATTATATCTTCAAAGACTAAGGTTATTTAAAATCTCTTTAGTATCATACACAGAATCTAATATTAGCATTTTAAAAAGCTTAGGTGCTCAATTAGCATTTTTGGATGATTTAATATGGCAATATTAAATGATTATTTTTTTAAGATTTTATTTATTAGAGAGTGAGCGGGAGAGAGAGAGAGCACAAGAGGGAGGAGGAGCAGAGGGAGAGAGAGAAGCAGACTCCCCACTGAGCAGGAAGCCTGACTCGAGGCTCAATCCTGCGACCCTGGGATTATGACCTGAGCCGAAGGCAGACGCTTAACTGACTGAGCCATCCAGGTGCCTGATTGATTATTTAAATCCCAGATTTAAATTAGGTTTATTAGTCATTCCTTATTATTATTGTAAAAAAGTAATATCTTATTTTTAGATACTAGAATTTACATATTAGAGAATGAGTAAGATAGCATCTAGCCCAAACTCTGCATCTCACTTTCTTAATCAATAAAAGTTGAGAGTTTGGGTAGGCAATTTGTAATGCAAGTTGTATGATGTAGTTAATATAAAAGTTTTATCCTTTTTAGAGGTTCTTTTGGTGTGTTTTTAATACAGATTAGTTGATAAGTTATAAAACAATGACTTAATACAGGTTAATCAGAAAATTTCTGTGGGACATTGTCATATTTGAGTATAATATTGTTAGTATAAAATAATCTATAGGGATATAAGATTAAGGGGGCTCAGCCATGAATATGAAGAATATGAATAATAAGCCAATCAAAAACGAATAAAACATTGAATGTATTAACTTAAATGCCCAGAGCAATAAAGTAGATGTATAAATATAGATATGGGAAATAGTATATGTGCATGTGTGTGTATGTGTATGTATAGAAAGAATGAGATATTCCATGTTAATGAATTTTCAGATAACTGACTACTGCCCCTCAAATTTTAAAAATAATTTTAAAAGTATCAATTTTTGTTTTAAAGCTTAATAATAATTTCCTTGCTTTATTAGAGTAGTTTCTCTGTTCTTTTGGAATTTGCTGCCTTTTCTGTCAGTTTATCTTTCTTACAAGTCAATTTGATTCATTCGTTGTGTTTTTGAGAAATCATAACCAAGGTTCAGAGAATACTGTATGGCTTGAGAATCCGTAAGTGTTGAATGGTAGCTTGAGGGTGTGCCCTACAAAATTACAAATCATAAATTTGAATGAGTTTGGGCCCTATTTGTATATATATATTTGCCTACCCTATTTGTATATATATATTTTCCTATTTGTATATTTTTATTTCTTGACTATATTCTGGATGACATTCTGAATAATTGATACTGTTAGGTTTGTAAAATGCATTAACTAATGCTTCTAATAAATATTACTATTAAGACAAAAGGGATAAAAAATAGTATAATACTTGTGTACCTACCACTCAGTTTAAGAAATAAAATACTGTATTATTATTTACCAATACTGTTAAATATTTGAATGCTTGTGATATGCTGCTTTAGGCATTGTGTGCATAGCAGTCAACAAAACAAACAAAAATCCTTGACCTCCTAGAGTTTGTATTTCAGGAATGAATTTGCCATTGCCTAATAATTGTCATTGTTCCTGTTTTTAGCATTTCCCCCATCCTTTTTTTTTTTTTAAGATTTTTATTTATTTGAGAGAGAGAGAGCGTGAGCAAGTGCATGAGTGGGGGGAGGGGCAGAAGGAGAGGGAGAAGCAGACTCCCTGCTGAGCAGGGATTCCCAAATTGGGGGCTCCATCCCAGGATCCTGAGATCATGACCTGAGCCTAAGGCAGACAATTAACCAACAGAGCCACCCAGACGCCTCTCCCCCATCCTTTTTAGAGTGCTGATTTGAATCTTATGTGGTCATGAATATTAGGGAGAATAGTTATTAGAAGTGATTGCAAATAAAGAATATACAGGCACTGTCTGATAGCATAAGATGTGTTCTATCAGTGTATTTGGTTTGGAGTTTGTTTTGTACGCACTAAGACATTCAGTCCCTAATACTTGGTTTCATTTCCTCATCAACACTATCCTAGTGTTGGTGACCCTGGTTTCATTAGGCCCACAAGAGGAAAAGGTTCTGGGTCACCTCAAATAACATTCTTGTGTGTCTGTGTAATACACAATTGAAGGAAATAAAACTTATTTTTTAAGGCATTTGAAAGAAAGTTGACTTATTTGTTTTTAAAGAGAGAAAGGCAAAGCATAAGAGACTTTTTTTTTTAAGATTCATTTATTTATTAAGAGAGAGCATGTGCACATGCCTGCACCCAAGTGTGGGGAGGGGCAGAGGGAGAGAGAGAATTCCAAGCAGACTTCGTGCTGAGCATGGGGCGGGGGGGGGGGGGGGGGGCTTGATCCCACAACCCCAAGATCACAACCTGAGCTGAAATCAAGTCATATGCCCAGTGGACTGAGCCACCCAGGCACCCCAAAAAGTTGACTTAGTTTAAATTTAAAGCTAAAACTTTTTCAAGAAAAAGTGGCACTTTAGATCCAGTAACTTGAAGTTACAGATTCGTTTTCTTCTGATGGGCTTGAGAACTTTTTTTTCCTTTTCTAAGTAAGCTCTATGCTCACTGTGGGGCTTGAGCTCACCATCCCTTAGATCAAGAGTCTCATACTCTATCGACTAAGCCAGCCAGGTGCTCCCGGGCTTGAAAACATTAAAAAAAAAAAAAATTGTGGTATAATGTAAAGAAAACTGGAAGTGACATCTAAGAATTACAGATTTAGTGTTTCTTATGATGGACTAGGAACTTAAAACAACAACAGAAAAATCTGTGGTGTACTATAAAGAAAACCACAAACTAGAGCACTATGAAAGAAACCAGGATAAATAGAAATGAATAAACATCAAAGTTAGCATTAGAGTATGGTGTTCTCTGAACATTATTTTTATTTGGTGTTGTTTTAGGTATCGTCAGATCCTGGAAAAAGCCATTCAGTTATCTGGGGCAGAACAACTAGAAGCTTTGAAAGCTTTTGTGGAAGCAAGTAAGTGGAATGAAAATTCCATGTTTGCCTTGTATTATCGAGTTAGGACTTCAAAGCTTGCTCAAGCTCGTTTTATATCAAGTTATCAATATAATTTTCATTGAGATTAAATTTAAATATACATTGAAATTCATTTTAGAATTTAAGCTTTACTAGGTAATTTTTCAATAAGTTGTCTTCAGAGTTACATTACCAATTAAGGTTTTGTACAGTAATTGATACAGTAACTGATGAAAGACAGTGTAGCATAATGATAAGGAAAATAGTCTAGATTCAGTCTGGTCTGTTGTTTTATTAGTTGTGTGTTCTTGGATAAGTTAATTCCTTTGTGCCTCCATTTCCTTGTCTATACAATGGGGATGTGATAGCTACCCTGTAGAAATGTTGAGGTTAAATGAGTTAACATACCAAGTAAAGTGCTTTGAATAGTACCCGGCATATAATAAGCGCTATATAGGTGTTGACCGTTATTAACGTTAAGAACATTCCCTTTGAATGGGAACTAGACATTTCCATTCTTCAAGACATTCTCACCTATTCCCTGACTTCAAACATATCCAGTTATTTTGAAAATTACTCAAAATCCAGGCTGGAATTGATACTGAGTTAACAATATTAATGACACTTGAGAGTGCTTTACAGTGTAGAGCATGCTTTCACATACATTCTCATGAGAAGTGCTAGTTTATGTAGGAATTTCTTTCTAACAGTCGTTAAGTGCCTAATGACACTTGTAATGAAAGTGTTTTCTCATCTGTATCCGGTTTTATCCAAGAATGAATTATGATTAATATATCATGAACTGATTACAAGCTTGTTACAGGTTACCGTAAGTTACTGCCTCAAAAAATTGGGGCCTGCAGTGTGTGTTGAGCTGGCCGTTGCTTCCAAAAAACTGTTAGGAATGGTTTTATTGAGAACATTGCATTGTAGTAGCAAAAGAATAGTGATTTTTATTATAAGCTTTAATCTTTATATAAACTTTGAATCCAGTGCACCAGTGAAAAGCAGTCTACTGAAAATCATTTACATCAGCTGAACAGTTTTTTTTTTTTAAAGATTTTATTTATTTATTCATGAGAGACAGAGAGAGAGAGAGAGGCAGAGGGAGAAGCAGGCTCCCAAGGAGCAGGGAGCCCAATGTGGGACTCGATCCCAGGACTCTGGAATTGTGACCTGAGCCGAAGGCAGACGCTTAACCATCTGAGCCACCCAGGCGCCCTCAGCTGAACAGTTTTTGAATGATCATTTATTTTCCCAGTAACTGCTGATTTCAGACTTAATTTATCTGAGCAGTGGTCACAAGCACGATGCATCTTTTAAAATATAATAATAGTGATAATAATAATGAACATTTGTTCAGTGGTTTGTTCCCCATGTTGTTTAAAGTGCTCTATGTATAATGCATTTAAGCTTCTCAGCGGCCTTAGCCACATTGTACAGAGGAGGAAACAGAAATACAGACAAGCTAAGTTTCTTGTTGGAGGGCATCTGATCAGGAGTGGTGGAAGCAGCAAGGCTTCAGAGCTCTCATCCTTTATCACATACAGTAATAAAAACTCATACATGTTTATGAATTATGTCATTAAATATGTCTGTACATCTAGTGCTGACTTCAGTTCTTATTTGTTGTTTTTACTGGGAAAATACAAGTGGCGGTAACTGTCACTACTTGCTTTATTTAAATTTCGTGAAAATTATCTGTTTCTTCTTTAACTCCTTTTTGTCACCAGGTGGTATATAAGTACATACATAAAAATATAGGTGTTTCTGTGCCTTCCCTTTGTAGAACAATAAGGAAGAGAAGGAATAATGTAAAATTCTCAAATGTAAAACAAAACTTTTCCCCAGCCATTTCTGTTTCTTAGGAAAATTATGGGATTTTTACTGTTTTAGTGTAGTCATTATGTAATCAAATAATTCAGCATAAGGAAAACTGATTCTGTAATATAAGATGATATGGGTATGTAAGTCCCTGAATAATGCAGTGAAGGTTGTACTAATCTATATTGTTCTTAATGTTAATTTTAGGTAAAAATTGATTGCTTAATGAAAATTGATAAATTATTTGTTTTCTTATCTCTTATTTTTTTTTGACAAGTGGTGAATGAGAATGTCAGTCTCGTGATCTCTCGACAGTTGCTGACTGATTTCTGTACCCATCTCCCTAACCTGCCTGATAGCACAGCCAAAGAAATCTATCATTTCACCTTGGAAAAGATCCAACCTAGAGTCATTTCATTTGAAGAGCAGGTAAAAATCTAGACCAGTGATTTTTGAACATGAGATAGCAGCAGTTATTTTGAGAGATACTATGACATTTTTAAAGGAGATGATCATCCAGTTTTATTTTTGACAAAACAGTGCGCCAAACAGCATGTTACAGTATAAAACTAAATATTAGGATGTTGTAACTCCAGCTGACATTTGCTTGGATATTACAGTTTGATTTACAAACCAAATATTACTCTTTAGACAATTTTTAAGAATCAGAAAAATTGTTAATAAGGCTAAAATCATAGGAAAACGTTAGCATTATATATACAGTTAACATAAAAGTAAAATTTAATATTTAAACTAAATTATTGCCATAATCCACATTGCAGAAGTGTGTTAGTTCAGTATTTTGATATTCTGTGAATGCAAAATTCATAAAAAAAAATTGGGGTGGTCTAGTTAAACTAGTACTATTTACTTGTCAGCTTAATATGTTGAATGACAGCATTATCACAGTAGATTAACTTAGCCTCCATTTATTTTAGTCACTAATGTCAGCTGATATAATTTAACATGTCTACCTACTATTCCAGGTTGCTTCAATAAGACAGCATCTTGCGTCCATATATGAGAAAGAAGAAGATTGGAGAAATGCAGCCCAAGTGTTGGTGGGAATTCCTTTGGAAACAGGACAAAAGTATAGTAAATAGTGGATATTGGATGGAGATGTATATAGGATATTTATCATTATTCACTTATGTTTTTTTTCACATTCTAATGAAAGAAACATCATAAACAATTTAATAAGTACAAAAATTTTGCAGTATGTTAGAAGGGGATAAGTGCTATAGAGAAAAGTAAAGGGAAAGTGGAGAACAGGTTGTATCATTAAAAAGGGTGATTGGAGTGGTAGGGTGGTCCACGTACAACTTCTCAGACCCTTGAAGGAAGTAAGGGAATGGCTATGAGCTGAGGGAAGACTCTTAGGAGATCCTCTTAGAGAGGATGGCTAATGTAAAGGTGCTAAGACAGGAGCATGCCTGGAGTGTTTTCAGAAGATCGAGATACCAGTGTGGTTGAAGTGGAGTGAGCCAAGGAAATGTGGGGGGCTGAGATCAGAGAGTACTGAGGACCAGATTATGTAGGTTCTTGTAAGTCATTGTAAGGCCTTTGGCTTTTCTCTAAGTGAAATGAAGGGGAGCCATTGGAGGATTTTGTATGGAAGAATGACATGATCTGACTTATATTTTAGAAAATCATTCTGCCTACTGGGTTGAGAATAATTATAGGCAAGTAATGATAGAAGTAAGGACATGAGTTAAGAGGCTTATGTACTACTGCAGAGAAGATGGAGATTGTGAGAAATGTTGGATTCTGGATATGTTTTTAAGGTAGAGCTAAGGATTTTCTGGTAGCTTAGATATGTAGTATGAGAAGAAGAGCCAAGATAAATCCTGGATTTGGTCTGAACAACTGGAAAGATGGAGTTGCCATCTACTGAGTAGTAAAGAATAGGTTTTGAGGGAAAATCGAGAGTTCCATTTTGGACATGTCATAACCAAGTGAAAGTATCTAGTAGGGAGTTGAATATATTAGTCTGTAGTTTAGGAGAGAGATCTGAGCTACATTTGGGAATCATTGATACATAGATGGAATTTTTTTTAGGTTTTTTTTTCTTTTTAAGATTTTATTAATTTATTTGTGAGAGAGAGCACCCACAAGCAGGGGGAGCGGCAGGCAGAGGGAGAAGCAGGAGAAGCAGACTCCCCGTGGAGCAGGGAGCCCTATGCGGTGCTCGATCCCAGGACCCTGGGATCATGACCTGAGCCGAAGGCAGACGCTTAACCAACTGAGCCACTCAGGTGTCTCTATGTAGATGGAATTTAAAGCCATTATATCAGTGAGATCCCCAAGGGAGGAAATATAGAGAAGAGGACTAAGTACTGATTCCTATAGCACTCGGCATTAAGAGGTCAGGGGCAGGAGGAAGTAAAAAGTATTTAGGTAAGAAGACAACCAGAAGAATGTGGAGTGTGGTCGCCTAAAAGCCAAATGAGGAAAACGTATCAAGGAGCAAGTGATCAGCTCTGGTGTTGCTAGGTCAAGTAAGATGAGGAATGACGGTTAGCCATTGGAGTTAGTAATGTGGAGGTCACTGAGACACTTGGCAAAAGCTGTTTTGGTGAAATGGTAAGCATGAAAAAGCGTGATTGGAATGGGAAGAGAAGAATTGGAGATGGTATGTATGGGCAACTCTTTGCAGAAGTTTTCACAAAAGGGAGCAGAGAAATAGGGTAGAAGCAGCAGAGATTATTTTTTCTTTTATGATTTTTTGGAAAGCAAAAATTTGATACGGGGGAGTAAGAGGATTCTGGCAGGAGTAGACAGAGGGGAAGGAAACTAGCGGAGGGATAGGCTTTAGATAGAAGCATAGATAACTCACTGGAGACTGAGTTTCTCAACCCCAGCACTGTTTGCATTTTAGATGCACTAATTCTTTTTTGTTGGGGTTGTCTTGTGTATTGCAAGATGCTTAGCAGCATCTCAGACCTTTGTCATTAGATGCCAGTAGCATCATTGCCCCTATTTGTGACAATCAGAATGTCTGTAGACATTGCCACATGTTCCCCGATGGGCAGAATAGCACCCCGTGATCTACAGTAACAGCCAGCAATACAGAGTATGCGGGTGCTGTATTAGCCATGTGCTGGGGGAGTTTGTGCAAGTACTCGTTGATGGCTTCAGTATTCTTAGTGAAGTCAGAATCGGTCATCAGCTGGAGATGTGGATGGGGGTGGGAGTGTTGAAGTTGAGGGAAGACAAAAATAGGAGAAAAAATTCTCTAGGAGAGTGAGTAGACTAGGAATATAGTTGGCAGCAAAAAGGGCTCATCTGAAGATTGTAGTGATTGAAATGAGATCATTCAGATTGGTTAGGTGTTTTTCTCCATCAGAGTTCAGCTACATGGGTGCAGGAAAGGAGTAGGCAAACGTAGGTTTAATCACAGTTACGATGTTGCCCAACAAGTGTGACAGCAAGAGATGGACAAGGGAGATGAGTGCATATTCAATAATTAACAGTGATTGACCATAGGGGTTAAACGAGGTGAGGGGTGAAGTGAGGCCTTTAAGGGGAAAAAGACAGTAGCAATATAATGAGTTCAGTCGTTTAGAGGTCACAGTGGGTTCAATGGGTTGTTGGGTTTGGGATGCTAGACTAAGTGAGAGGGAGAAACAATTAGAAAGAATTAAGATGATAATTTATAACTTTTATTCAATTAATCTTACCTTTAGTATTTTTAGAAATATCTCTAGTTCTTTATGAAGCATTCCTCCCAAGTACATTGTACAAGAAGGAGGGCAGATGTGAGATTATTGGTTATGTTTTTTAAATATGTTCCCCTTTCAATTGACAAGTATAAAAATACCACCTGTGAATGATTTAAAAATATTTCAGCTGCTTCTCTACTCTTTTACCAGGTAAATGAGGAATTCTTTTTTTGTCTTCATTAATATTTGTGATGAATGATAAGGCAGACAGTAGTTCAGGCATCTTGCTTTTTGTGCATTGCTTATTATGAAATTATTAGACAGTGCTGCTCCTTGAAAAAGCAGCCAGTTTGAGAAAGGCTTCATTATGTGGATGTTGAATTTTGCTTTCCAAGCCTTCGTGTTCATTTGTTTGTTTGTTTGTTTTTCTTTGATAGTTTGAAAAGGCTGGGCTTTCTTCTTTGCTTTGGTCTTATTCTGTGCGGAGTATTTTCTTCGTAGTACAGGGCAATTGATGTACTTTCACTGGCAGTTGAAATAAATATAAAATTAGATATTGTTCTTTGTAGTGACAGTAATTACCATTTTGAACGTCCTGTAGCATTATCTTTATCTGTGAGGATATCAGAGAACTGAAAATTTAGCAGTTTTCTAAACAAGTTAACCTAAAAGTGATTAAAAGTAGAATCTGGATAAACGATTGAGAATTTGTTTCTTTAAACAATGATTCATTCTGATAATTACAGTAATTTTAAATTTAGTAGATGGCATAAAATTGGAAAATTCAAAAAAGTATAGTGCTATTTATAGCAGTTAATGTAAATTTGAGTTGTGAATGGAAATAGTATAGTACAAAATGCTAGTAATATATGACTTGTGGAAAAAATTCAAATTAGTATAAAAAAATTTAAAAAGTAAAGAATTTCAGAGCTTGGGCCATGTAAACTGTAAACTGTTCTTGCCACATGGTGGCTCACTTTTGCTGGTAATAAAAAAGATTAATTTTTCTGTAAGGATTAATCTTGATTTTTGTGAGTTTTGGATTATGTGAGGTGTTCAGTTGTGCATTTCTTGCATAAAATGTGGTCACTGAGATAAAGAAGAAAATGAAAACTGTCTGTAATCTCAACACCTAGAGATAATTGCTATTACTATCTTCATATGTATGTATAGAAATACATCTTAATAGTGTCTTACATGTTGTTTTATCCTGTTTTTTTACTTAGCAAAAATACATGACTATTATATAGTAATGGTTATAATAACTGTATATTATTCTACCATCTTTTATGTACCACAATTTAGTTGATTATTATAAATATCATAATAAGTGATTCCCAGTGTTTTCCTGTTAAGATATTTATAACTTTACAAATGAATATTCCTTCTGTGTATGTGTGCACATCCCTAATTATTTTCTTGGGATTTATTTTCTAGAAGTAAAATGTAGTAGTTAAGGAATATATATGTATTTTAAAGGATTCAAAGGGTCATTGGAAAATATATTGCCAAATTGTTTTCCATGATGGTTTACTCATTTATAGCCCCAACAGCAGTATATGATACACCCCTCAACTAGGCATTTTTTTCTTTTAAGTTCTATGACTTGTGAGATTATCTGAGGATTGAAAGAAGCTAAAATACAATGGAACAATCATGATAAAAATAATAAAAATTCAATAAAATTTATTTTGGAAATATTTTTTAGATTTTCTCCAATGCAGTAAAAATTTGATTCTCTTATATTAACAGAATATATATAATGAAAAAAATTTATTTTCTCCAACTCCTAAAAATTTTCTTGATAATATACTCAGTCATTCTGTGTTTTTCTGTTACATCCTAGGCAGTACAATGTAGATTATAAGCTGGAAACTTACCTGAAGATTGCTAGGCTATATCTGGAAGATGATGACCCAGTCCAGGCAGAGGCTTACATAAATCGAGCATCATTGCTTCAGAATGAATCCACCAATGAACAGTTACAGATACATTATAAGGTAACAGATGAGTTGATTTGAGATTAATTTTGTATTGAAGAATCCTACTATACTAAGATTCTCCAGAACATCTGATAAATGGTGTTATATATTAGAAATTATCTTTTATTTTTTGCTTTGATTTTTAATTTTTTCCCCAATTGAAAAATTTCCCTCTATAGGTATGCTATGCACGTGTTCTTGATTATAGAAGAAAATTCATTGAAGCTGCACAAAGGTACAATGAGCTCTCTTACAAGACAATAGTGCACGAAAGTGAAAGACTAGAGGCCTTAAAACATGCTTTGCACTGTACCATCTTGGCATCAGCAGGTAAACATGTAATTTGTGCTTTCATGAACAGTTACGTTTGCTTAATAATTTCAGGCTCATTACTGAATTAATAATTTCAGGCTCATTACCTACTAGAGGATTTAGCAAGGAACTATTTTTATTTTTATTTATGTATTTTTTATTTTTAAGATTTTATTTATTTATTTGACAGAGAGATAGAGAGCACAAGTAGGCAGAGTGGCAGGCAGAGAGAGAGGGAGAAGCAGGCTCTCCACTGAGCAGGGAGCCTGATGGGGGGCTCGATCCCAGGACCCTGAGATATGTCCTGGGCGGAAGGCAGATGCTTAACCGACTGAGCCACGCAGGCGCCCCGCAAGGAAATATTTTTAAATATGCATGTATCAGTCTGTTACCCACATGTGTTAGGAGTTATTAAGAGAGATAATATGAAGTTTAGTTTGTCTAATATCTCTCTTAAAAATGAATAATGAAATTAAGTGAGAATTATATATAAATTATATATAAAAGGTTTTTTATTTATTTATTTGACAGAGAGACACAGCGAGAGACATAGCAAGAGAGGGAACACAGCAGGGAGAGGGGGAGGGAGAAACAAGCTCTCTGCGGAGCAGGAAGCCCGATGCGGGGCTCGATCCCAGGACCCTGGGATCAAGACCTGAGCCTAAGGCAGACGCCCAGTGACTGAGCCACCCAGGCGCCCCTGAAGCAGTGATCTTACTTATTGTATTTTTGTTACTAAAAAGGCAGTATATAAAATGGTACTGCTTCCAGTTCTAAAGAACTTTTCCTGGTTACTTGGATTTCCTTCAGTGTAAAAGTTCTGTGTGTGTCCTCTTTTTTTATAAACGGTATCATGATACACATGCTTTTGTAACCTGCTTTTTTCCTACCTGTATATTGGCAATCTTTATATGTCAGTACATACCACTCATTCTTTTTGGATGAGCAATTGAGTATTCACTAATTCAGTGTGGGCAGCAACTTTGTAGAACATAACTGCTACAAATCAGGACAATTGACTATATTCTTAGTAGGCAAAAATTGAGTCATAACATAGTTTCTTATTGGAGAAATAGATTGTGAGAATATTTGATGCTCATTTGTTTCCCTTAGGACAGCAGCGTTCTCGGATGCTAGCTACTCTTTTTAAGGATGAAAGGTGCCAGCAACTTGCTGCTTATGGGATCCTAGAGAAAATGTACCTAGACAGGATCATCAGAGGAAATCAACTTCAAGAATTTGCTGCCATGTTGATGCCTCACCAAAAAGCAACTACAGCTGATGGTAATGATCATGTCTTAAAAATTTGTTGGAGTGAATATTTAGGTACACACTAGTGGAACGTGTGTTAAATTTGAAGCATCTTGTTATCTTTCTATAATATTTTTATATAACACTTGATGACCAAAAGGAATATTATATTGACTGAAAATGAGTATTATATACAGATAGGGTTTGAATTATAAAAATAGCCCTATTGGAAAGCATATTGTAGAATAATGCATTTTTGGAAATTGTAAGGGCAGAATTACAGCCTATGTTAATAGTACCTGGTTTTTATTTTTTAATTTTTATTATTTATTTATTTTTAAGGTTTTATTTATTTATTTGACAGAGAGAGACACAGCAAGAGAGGAAACACAAACAGGGGGAGTGGGAGAGAGAGAAGTCGGCTTCCTGCTGAGCAGGAAGCCCAATGCAGGGCTTGATCCCAGGACCCTGGGATCATGACCTGAGCCGAAGGCAGACGCTTAACGACTGAACCACCCTGGTGCCCCTAGCGCCTGGTTTTTAAAAAACTCAAACCCTTTGATAAGTACCTTAATTAATTTTAAGCATCAGTTTTTAACAGTATAATTATCCAGTCCTATTTTAGATGAGTAAAATTTGGCACAGTAGCTTGCTTAAGGTTATTCAGGGTGAAAGTATTGCCAGTAAGAATAGAACTTGGTGTCATATTTCCTAGTTAAGGGATGTATTTGTTTTATCAGGCTACCTTTTCCAGAAAAGTTTTTAATAGTTGCTTGTTTATAGCATCAGTCACTTTATATATGTTTGTCTACAGAGGTTTTAAAGTAACTTAAAACAATAACATGTAATAATAAAAATAGAGCATCAGAAACATGAAAAAAGTCAAGATAAACACAGATTTGTTGGACTCACTTCCTTGGATTCAATGAGAATATATCAAAGAGAATTTAGCTATAAAGAATCATTTATGCAGGAGTTTGCTGAAAGGTATACACTTCACCCAGTCCTACTGCCCTGAGTTAAACCGGATCACTGAAGGGATTATAGTGATCTCCTATTGAATTTTTCATTTAATTTGTATTTTAAGAAGCAAACTAGTTGATTCTCACCTTTCTGTCCAAAGGAGGTATTTTTTTTCTATAGGATATTTGTTACGCAATCCTCAGGAAAAATTCCTTCACAGTCTTGCAGTTGTGATTCTCCTGAACAGTTGTTTTTTTATCTTATTAAACACACTTTGAGTTAATGAGCTGATTGGCTTTTCTTATCTTGACTGCTAGAAAGCTTATTAAATTTGTAGCCCACCTATAAATAGTGTGTATGTATGTGTTTTGATTGTTGCTACTTTTAAATTCTTTTCCGTGTATTCTGAGCAGCTTTAACCATTTTTTTTAAAAGATTTTATTTATTTATTCATGAGAGAGAGAGAGAGGGGCAGAGGGAGAAGCAGCCTCCCAAGAAGCAGGGAGCCCGATGCGGGACTTGATCCCAGGACCCTGGGATCATGACCTGAGCCGAACGCAGACGCTTAGCCATCTGAGCCACCCAGGCGCCCCTGAGCAGCTTTAAATTCTTTTTGCAAGGAGATACCTGACAAACAAGTTAAAAGATAGTTAAAAAGAAAAAGTTACCAGGATTGATATAGTCAAGCTTCAGATTTGACTTTGAGCTTTCTGGCTATGAAAAAAAATGTGAAAAGATTCTTTTCTAAAAAGGATACTTACTAGGACCTCTGAGGATGCAGATGATTCTCAAATTTCTCACATGGGACTATATAGAGAGGACAGATGTTTTGTTCTTCTTCCATTTTAGGCCTTCCTGTTTTTCCTTATTTATCTCTTGGACATTTTTGTTTATTGGCATTAAACCCTACATTAGCAATCATGAGACGTAATTTTTTTTTAATTACAATTCATTGTTTTTTAGTATATTCCCAAAGGTGTATAATATTACTACTAATCTGCTTTCTGCTTAATAGATTTGTCTGTGGTGGGCACTTCATATAAGTGGAAACACACAATATATAGCCTTTTCACTTGGCAAAGTGTTTATCCATGCTGTAGCATTTATCAGTACTTTATTCCTTTTTATTGCCAAGTAATATTCTATATATGAATGTACCACATTTTATTTCCTCATCAGTTGATGGACATTTAGGTTATTTTCACTTCTGGGCTATTAATGCTTCTATGAATATTTATGTAAATTTTTTAAAATTTTAATTCAGTTAATATATAATGTATTTTTGGTTTCAGAAGTACAGGTCTGTGATTCATCAGTTTTTACCCCATGCTCATTAAATCACAGGCCCTCCTTAATATCCATCACCTAGTTACCCCATCCCCCATCCCCCTCCCCTCCAGCAACCCTCAGTTTATTTCCTATGATTAAGAGTCTCTTATGGTTTGTCTCCCTCTCTGGTTTCATCTTGTTTTATTTTTTCCTCTCTTCCCCTGTGATCCTCTGCCTTGTTTCTTAAATTTCACATATCAGTGAGATCATGTGATAATTGTCTTTCTCTGATTGACTTGTTTCGCTTAGCATAATACCCGCTAGTTTCATCCACATTGTTGCAAATGGCAAGATTTCAGGGTTTTTTTGATGACTATGTAATATTCCATTGTATATATATGCCACATCTTTTTTTTTTTTTTAATTAAAAGACTTTATTTGACAGAGAGAGAGACAGCGAGAGAGGGAACACAAGTAGGGGGAGTGGGAGAGGGAGAAGCAGGCTTCCCGCTGAGCAGGGAGCCCGATGCGGGGCTTGATCCCAGGACCCTGGGATCATGACCTGAGCCGAAGGCAGACGCTTAACAACTGAGCCACCCAGGCGCCCCTATGCCACATCTTCTTTATGCATTCATCTGTCAGTGGACATCTGGGCTCTTTCCATAAATTTCGCTGTTGTGGACATTGCTGCTATAAACATTGGGATGCAGATGCCCCTTTGGATCACTACATTTATATCTTTGGGGTAAATACCCAGTAGTGCAATTGCTGGGTCGTGGGGTAGCTCTATTTTCAACTTTCTGAGGAACCTCCATACTGTGGAGAGTGGCTGCACCAGCTTGCATTTCCATCAGCAGTGTAGGAGGGTGCCCCTTTCTCCTTATCCTCGCCAACATCTGTCATTTAATTTTAGCCATTCTGACCAGTGTGAGGTGATACTTCATTGTGGTTTTGATTTGTATTTCCCTGATGCAGAGTGATGTGGAGCATTTTTTCATGTGTCTGTTGGCCGTTTGGATGTCTTCTTTGGAAAAATGTCTGTTCATGTCTTCTGCCCATTTCTTGACTAGATCATTTGGTCTTTGGGTGTTGAGTTTGATAAGTTCTCTGTAGATTTTGGATACTAGCCCTTTATCTGATATGTCATTTGCAAATATCTTCTCCCATTCTGTTGGTTGTCTTTTGCTTTTGTTGACTTTCTTTCTTTTTATCTTGATGAAGTCCCAATAGTTCATTTTTGTCCTTGCTTCCCTTGCCTTTGGCGATGTTCCTAGGAAGAAGTTTCTGTGGCTGAGGTCAAAGAGGTCGCTGCCTGTGTTCTCCTCAAGGATTGTGATGGACTCCTGTCTCACATTTAGGTCTTTCATCCATTTTGAGTCTATTTTTATGTGTGGTATAAGGAAATGGTCCAATTTCAGTCTTCTGCATGTGGCTCTCCAATTTTCCCAATACCGTTTGTTGAAGAAGAGACTGTCTTTTTTTCCACTGGACATTCTTTCCTGCTTTGTCGAAGATTAGTTGACCATAGAGTTGAGGGTCCTTTTCTGGGTTCTCTGTTCTATTCTATTGATCTGTGTGTCTGTTTTTATGCCAATACCATACTGTCTTGATGATTACAGCTTTGTAATACAGCTTGAAGTCCAGAATTGTGATGCTACCAGTTTTGGCTTTCTTTTTCAGTGTTTCTTTGGCTTTGGAGCAGACTTCTAATAGTTCTGATTTTGTGCTCCGCGGCTCTATCACTTGCTGGTGGCGGCTGACGGAGGCACCCTCCCCCCACGATCTATCTTCCCGAATATCACCTCGGATTCACTTCTCCGCACGTCCTGCCTTGCAGAAAGTGTTCGCTTTTCTATTCGTAGAGTTGCAGCTAGTCTTTTCTTAGACCTCTGGTTGAGTTCACAGTTGTTCAGAATGATTTGATAGCTATGTAGCTGAATTCCTGGGACCAGACGAAATTACAGTCTCCTATTCCTCTGCCACCTTCCATGTAAAAATTTTTGTATGAACACAGGTTTTTAATTCTTCTGGGTATTTACCTAGGAGTGGAATGACTGGGACATATGATAACTCTCTTTAGTCTTTTGGAAAGTTGCCAGACTGTTTTCAAAAGCAGCTGCTCCTTTTTACACTCCTGCCAGCTGTGTGTGCAGGTTCTAATTTCTCCATATTTGCTGTCACGTTTATGATCTTTCTGATTTAGACATCCTAGCATGTGTGAAGAGGTATCTCATCATTTTGATTTGCATTTCCCTGAACAGCTTTTCATGTACTTACTGGCTATCTGTATATCTTTAAAGAGAAGTCTGTTCAGATCCTTTTCGGTTTTTAAATTGGGTTATTTGTCCTTTTATTACTGAATTGCAGGAATTCTTATATTCTAGACCTGATCATTATCAGATGATTTGCAAATATTTTCTCCCATTTTGTGTGTTGTTTCTTCACTTTTTTGATGGTATCCTTTGAAACATTTAAGTTTTTAATTTTGATTAAGTCCAGTGTTTCTCCTTTTTGTTGCCTCTACTTTCAGTGTCATATCTAAGAAACCATTGCCTAATCCAAGATCATGAAGATTTGCTCTGTTTTCTTCTGTAAGTTTTATAATTGTAGCTCTTACATGTAGACATTTGATTCATTTTGAGTTCATTTTTTTGTATATGGTGTAAGATAAAGGTCCACTTCTATTCTTTGCATGCGGATATCCAATTGTCCTATCACCATTTGTTGAAGAGACTGTAAGTTCCCCATTGAATTATCTTGGTACCCTTGTTGATAATCAGTTGACCATAAATGTGAGAGTTTATTTCTGGAGTCTCAGTTCTATTCCATTATTTTATATTCCTGTTCTTATGCCAGTTACCACACTGTCTTGGTTGCTCTATCTTTATAGCAAGTTTTGAAATTGGGATGTGTGAGTCCTCCAACTTTTTTTTTCCCCCTCAAGATTGTTTTGGCTCCTCTGAGTCCCAGTAGAATGAATTTTAAAATCAGTTTGTCAGTTTCTGCCAAGAATCCAGCTGGAGTGGCACCTGGGTGGCTCAGTTGGTTGGGCATTTGCCTTTGGCTCGTATCATGGTCCCAGGGTCCTGGGATTGAGCCCTGTGTCAGGCTCCCTGCTCAGCCAGGAGTCTCCTTCTCACTCTGCCTCTCCCCCTGGCTTGTGCTCTCTCTCTCTCTCAAATAAATAAAATCTTTAAAAAAAAAAAAAGCTGGAATTTTGATAGGGATTACCCTTAGTCCATAGATCAACTTGGAGACTGTTGCCATCTTAGCAATATTAAGTCTTCCTATTTTCCCATTTATTTAGGTTTTTATATTTGAAAGTTGCTAAGAGAGTAGATCTTAAAAGTTCTCACCACAAGAAAAAAAACTTTTAACTATGTGAGGTGATGGATATTAGACTTATTGTGGTAATCATTTTACAATGTATACGTATATCAAATCATTATGTTGTACATCTTAAACTAATACAATATTATATGTGGTGTCTGATAAAGTGTTAATCAAAATATATAAAGAACTTCTAAAATTCAGCACCCAAAAAACCAACAGTTCAGTTAAAAAATGGGCAGAAGACATGAATAGACATTTTTCCAAAGAAGACGTACAGATGGCTGACAGACACATGAAAAGATGCTCAACATCACTCATCATCAGGGCAATACAGATCAAAACTACAAGGAGATATCACCTCACACCTGTCAGAATGGCTAAAATTAACAACACAGGGAACAGTAGGTGTTGGTGAGGATGCAGAGAAAGGGGAACCCTCTTACACTGTTGGTGGGAATGCAAGCTAGTGCAGCCACTCTGGAAAACAGTATGGAGGTTCCTCAAAAAGTTAAAAATAGAATTAACCTATGATATAGCATTTGCCCTTCTAGGTATTTACCAAAGGATACAAAAATACTGATTCAAAGAGATATGTGTACCTTGATAGTTGTAGCAGCATTGTCAACAATAGCCAAATCATGGAAAGAGCCTCAGTGTCCATTGACTGATGAATGGATAAAGAAAAGGTGTGTGTGTACACACACACACACACACACACACACACACACACACACACACACACA